GCACCTGAACAAGCCACCGATGTATATGTGTGTGTAGCATCCATTCCATGAGCAGGTCCACCCTGTGACATGTCGCATGCCTTTCCTCTTCCAGCCTCCTTGGAACTATTTCTGGTAGTATTTCACTCCCCCTTCCTGTGCTGGCTGGTTTTATGTAAACTTGACACAAACTGAAAACATTTGGGAAGAGGGACCCTCATTTGAGAACATGTCCCCACCAGACTGGCCTATGAGCAAGCCAGGGAGCAGTGTCCCTCCATGGCCTCTGCTTCAGTTCCTACCTTCGGGTCCCTGCTTTGAGGTCCTGCCCTTGTGTCCATCCGTGATGGATCTATAGGGAGTGTAAGCTGAAAGAAACCCTTTCTTCTCCAAGTTGTTTTCGGTCATGATGTTTATCACAGCAACAGCAACCCTAACTAAGGCCCTTTCTCAAGCCAAAACAAAATAAAGTCCATAATAATTTCTTACTTCCATCATTGTCTAGGTAGTGAATTTATTAAATGAACTGTTTACTTGGATGTAGATTTTCCAAATGTACTTTTACTCCTTGGATCATTTAGCATGTTCCTCTGTTCCCAGCATTTTCAAAAACATTCAAATTTTTATTTTTTTTATTATGTATACGTGGGTCTGTCTGTCTGTGTGTGTGTCTGTGTGTGTCTAGATACCTCGCTTTAGTCAGATCTGAAGCCATGAGACAGAGAGCTGAGGTGTGGAGAGAGTAAGGAGCAGCAATGCGCATCCCTCACGCATCCACACCTGCCATGCTGCCCGGAGCCCACAAGTGCTGGGCCTCCTGGAGCTCTAGACTCCGGCTGGAGCCCCACACTGCCCAGGTACTTAGAGGTAACGACGTGTAGAAAACATCAGCAAGAGCTGTCCACTGCAGCAGCAGCACGTGAGAAGGGAGGGGAGGAGGCCCTGGGACTGCTGGACGCTGGACCAGTGACAGAATGCGAGTGAGTGGCTGTTACCAAGGTGCTAATGCCTGAGACCATCAGTCAGTGAAACAGCCCTACAGCAACAGTGCCTCCCCCAAGTATGCCTGTCAGCTCTAGTCTAGTGAAACACATCCTCTCACGACACACAGCAGGTCCAGGCTGGCCTTTGACATGACTGAAATTTGAAAACTACGGATGCAATAATAACTTGCAATCATGCACGGAATTGGCCCATGGAGGTGGCTCAATGATAGCATTCGCAAGGCCCTGGGTTCAGTTCCCAGCACCCTTTCTCCCAAGAGAATATTGTTTCAGTTAGGGCCAACATGACACAAACTTGAGTCACCAAGGAAGAGGGAACTTCAGTTAAGGAATTGCCTCCATCAGATTGGCCTGCAGACCAAAAAGCCTGTAGGACATTTTCTTGATGAATGATTGGCATGAGCAACCAGGCTCCCTCCCACAGGGAATGCTACTCTGGACAGTGGTCCTGAGTTGTATAAGAAATCGGGCTGAACAAGCTATGGGGAGCAAACCAGTAAGCAGCACCCCTCCATGGCCTCTGTTTCAGTTCCTGCCTCCAGGTTCCTGCCCTGACTTAGAAGAGCAATATGAAATAAATCCTTTCCTTCCCAAAGAGCTTCTGGCCAGTCTTTTGTCAGAACAACAAGAAGCAAACTAGGACAAATACAGTGGTATTCTCACATATTAACTACAAGGCCTCTGTGCATTTACCTATTTATTTATTTGCTTATTACTCACAGTGTTGAGAATTAAACCATGGTCTCACACATTGCCGGCAAACGCTCCCCCACCAACAGTGTTCTTAAAAAGCAGTTATGTTTAAATCACTTTCTGGTCATGTTTAAACAGCCATAAAAAGAACTGTCAGTAATTTCATTCCTGGATATTTTGCTTAACAAGTCGGCGGACCTCCCAAAGGGAAAGGTTATCTTCGTGAAGATAATAATTTGCTTATCACAGCCTTATCTCTAATGACAACCCTGAGCAGTTAAGTTTTCAGCAGGGACGTGGTTATAGATTGGCATGTCAAGAGGAAGAGCCCAGGCCATGTTCCCAGGAGGACTCATTACAAGGACTGCTGAACAAAGTATGTTTAGAGCAGATGAATAATGAGTGGGAAAAACGACTATTAAATCACAGCTCTCATGCCTTTCCATGGACAGGGATGCTCAATAGGTAAGGGGAAATAGATTCTGAATTTCTCTGAACCAATTTGATCTGATAGTTCTGTTTTCTTTGGGGTACTATATAAAATTCTCTAAAAAAACAAAAACAAAAAAACAGCATGCAGGGCTGGAGAGATGGCTCAGCAGTTAAAAGGGCTTAACACTCTCACAAAGGAGCAGGGCGGTGGTGGTGCACGCCTTTAATCCCAGCACTTGGGAGGCAGAGGCAGGCGGATCTCTGTGAGTTTGAGGCCAGCCTGGTCTACAAGAGCTAGTTCCAGGACAGGCTCCAAAGCTACAGAGAAACCCTGTTTTTAAAAAGAAAAAATAAATACTCTTGCAAAGGACCAGGGTTTCATTCCCAACAACACCCAGCTGTGACTCCAGTTCTATTGAATTCCTGGGAACTCAATGCCCTCTTCTGGCACCAGGCACACATACATACACATACACACAAACAAACATTCACACACACAAAAGAAATCCTTTTCTAAAATCCCATGCTACGTGTTAAATATTTACAACTACAGACCGGATCAGCTATAGAAATGAAGCCCGTCACCTGGGCTGACAAAGTAGGGAATCCTTGTCATGCTCAGAGCCTGCCTGGCTACCCCACTCAAGAGCTGAGCCCTGCGTTCCCAGGTCTGTCTCCTAGAGCTGTCTGGATCTACAGGGACAGAGAAGCACGCTGGGACCCGAGTGAGGAAAGCTTGCTGAAGGCAGGTGCGGTGCAGGGACAGAGCATTCACTCTGGGCCATTCCCTTACCCATAATAGAAGCAGCATTGCCTTCTATGCCAGCCCCGGTTCTTAAAGAGGATGTGTACTCTCCATGGCACCTCTGTGCCTGGGAAGCTATATTGTGGTGTAGCATCAGTGTGCCTCCCCAGTGGGAACTCACCCAGCACTTAGAGATTAGCACAGGAAACTCTTTAGTAACCGTGCAAGACCGGACCTGCCTGATGCTCAAGAGGGATCCAGCCCTGAACTGAAGCTCCCATCAGCTGATACAGTTTCACAGCCTTGAGTTATACTTTCATCTCTTAAACATGTTTCCCAGAGACAGAAACTCTGAGATTTAATTGTTTGGATAAATGGGGAGATTTACAATGTAAAATACTGTCATAGTCATCCTGACACAGATCAAGGCTACGTTGCCTGGGCAGCTGTTAACCAAGGTGTTCCTGTCAGGCAGAGTTACACTCTTCCTGAGCCGGGACTTAGTGACAGACCAGAACTTAATGGCAGCCCTGACCCGGTGCTGCCCACTCTGAACTGTCCTGTAGATGCTCTTTGACATGTCCTGATGGGTAGCTGCGAGCCTAATGTCTCTTTCGGTTATGGGAAGCGGGCCTGATTGGCAGCAGTCTTAGTGAACAAATCTTCAGGAACATGTTTTCAGCAAATCTAAAGTCTAGTTACGTTAGAGACGCACATTTCTCTGTCGTGCAGCTTCTACCAAGTCTGCTTAGTGGACGCTACTCATGCCAGGGAGCTCTGTGACCCTCATGGACCTCAGAGTGACGGTCCAGAGGAGGCGAGAAGGCAGTTTTCAGCACAACTCAGAAGCCTGCGTGGGTTCAAACTCCAGGAGTCTAGTTTAGGCATATTTAAGCACGGCATAATTGGGAGATAACTAACTCAATACTGTGTACTAATAAAGCAGGCATAAATCTCTTTGAGAAACAAAATCAGCTGAAGATCAGATGGGACTACACTGAAACTCTTTGTAAAGTAGAAGTAAACTATTTGTAAAGTGACACCCTCCAGAAAAATAAGGTCTATAAATTGACTACATGCGATAGATTCCAAAAAAGACGGGTTCTGTAGATTGACTGAGAAAAACAAATGCACACTAAGAGTCTGGCGGGGGGTAGGGGGAATCCGGTGCTGGAAAAGTCTCTAACCATACAGATAGAGCTAAAGTCACCAGGCTGTTAACCTCATGCCCTCCCAGGCTTCTGGGGGATTAACAGGCTATGCATTTCTTTCCTTGGAATGTGTTTCCATTCTGGGTTCCCCTAGTGCTGATCTGTGAGCACAGACCCTGTGAGCACAGACCCACAGAGCCCCTCCAGCTAAGTTCCACTCTGTAACACTGTTTCCTAGGCGAGCTTAAACTGAACCTTTCAACATGCATGTATCAACTCCCTGTTCTTCCAGCATCATCTTCTCTGTCTCTTGGCTCTCCTGGTCCTGGTTCCCTCTCTGGTACCTCCGCCACATCATGCAGCCTAAAACCATATAGGAAACATTTTCCTGTGGCTTATGTTCTAATGAGTGTGTACAGAAAATAGGGAAAATCCGTAACTTAACTGTGTAGTGAATTGTTACGAGTGGACTGTGTGCCCTTAAAATGCCTATTTCACAATCTTAACTTTTAACACCTCAAAATGTGACCTTATCTAGAGGTAGGGCTGTTCTAGAGCCACCCAAGTTAAAATGGAGAGAGGCCTCTCAAACAATATGATTGTTGTCCTTGTCAAAAGGAGAAATGTATCATAAATGTATCATTCCACTTAGAACTACACCACACACACACACACACACACACACACACACACACACTGTGGCTTAAAAGCCACAAAGTCTCAGTCAGTTCTAATAAGCAGTCTGATTAACACATCAGTCTTCTGGCTATGACTTCAGACTACTCTCAGTTCCGATAGATGGAACTCTGGGGACTCTGTGTTACCCATGTGGCAAGTGGATAAATGGTATTCAGGAATCTTTTATTTAATCTTCCAATTTCCCATTGTATTAGTCAGGGTACTCTAGAGTATCACAACTTATAAAATGGATGGATGGATAAATATGAAGATAGATAGATAGATAGATAGATAGATAGATAGATAGATAGATAGATAGATAGATAATAGATGGATAGATGGATGGATGATAGATAGGGATTTATTAGAATGACTTACAGGCTGTGGTCTAGCTAATCCAACAATGGCCAGTTATGAACATAAAGTCTAAGATCCCATCAGTCGCTCGGCCCACAGAGCTGGATGTCTCAGCTGGTCTTCAGTGTACCCTGGAATTCTGAAGAAATCGGCTCTAATGGCGGTGAAGGATGGACTTGCCTGTGAGAGCGAGGGCGAGCAGGCCAAGAGCAAAGCTTCCTTCTCCCATGCCCTTACATGAGCTGCCAGAAGAAGACCTGGCCCAGATTAGAAGTGGGTCTTCCCAGCTCAAGAGATATGGATTAAAAGCATGTCTTCCTACCTCACAGATCCAGATTAGAAGTAGAACTCCCCACTTCAAATTAAGCAAAAATTTCTCACAGGCATGCCCTCCATTTTAGTGTTTTTAGTTAATTCCAGATGTAGTCAAGTTGACAACAAACATTACGCCTGTGTTTGCTGGTTCGTTTCTGACAACCCTACAAAAGCTAGAGTCATTGGGAAGAGGGACACTTAGCTGAGGACCACCTCCATCAGACTGTCTGTAGTAAGTGGCATTTTCTTGAGTAATGATTGATGTGGGAGGGCTCAGCCCACTGTGGGTGATGTCATCCTCCTCCCCCGAGCAGCTGGTCCTGGATGGTATAAGAAAGAAAGCAGAGCAAGTTATGGGTAGAAAACCAGAAAGCAGCGCTCCTCCATGGCCTCTGCTGCAGTTCCTGCCTCCAGGTTCCTGCTTGAGTTCCCACCTTGGCTTTGCCAATGGTAGAGAGTGACCAGAACACAGAAACCAAATAAACCCTTTCCTTCCCAGGTTGATTTCCCACATTACAACAACAGAGAGCAAGCAAGGACGCTGCGGGTCTAGAATCACTAATTCCTAAATAGCATGTTAAAAATATAGTAGTGGAGCAGGGCAGTGGTGGCGCACACCTTTAATCCCAGCACTCAGGAGGCAGAAGCAGGCAGGTCTCTGTGAGTTCGAGGCCAGCCTGGTCTACAAGAGCTAGTTCCAGGACAGGCTCCAAGGCTGCAGAGAAACCCTGTCTTGGAAAAACAAAAACAAAAGAAAACACAGTAGTGAATTTTCACTTGACTGAAGATATCTTAACAAATGATAAATCTGAAACAAGTGTCTGTGGTGATGTGTCGAAGAGTTAATGCCAGCACATTAAAGCCTCTGTCAAATTGTTAGGGAAAAAAGCAAAACTGAAGAAAGGGGAAGAAAAAGCTTACAGAAAAGCAATTCTGAACAGCCGACAACCCTGCAATAGCCACTCCAGTTTAGCAAAGGAAGGAAATCAACAAATTAAGAAAGAAGGCAAGCGCTTCTAAGACTCCAGCTAAAACCCCGTCAACCTCTGCTGACTGACAAGCCAAGGAAAGTGGCGATGTCACTTGCTGCCGGTGGGAACGTGGGCAACAGAGATCCCTTTCAGAAAGCATGACAGCTATGCATTTTAAATGTTAATGCACCCACATCTGAACATATATCTTGGGAACTGTCACGAAGATGTCACAGTAACAGCAGATAAAGGCACATTGTTCGTTAGTGAAGCACTGGGAGCAAAATGAACCCCGTGCAGCAGGAAGAGGCGTGGTCGGCCAGCGCCGTGGAGCTATTAAAGAATGAGATGGTAGTGAACCCAGGGTGGACAAGGATTTCTTCCACGGACTGGGCTTGGGGAAGCCAGATTCTACTAAATAGCAAGTAGAAAAATCGAAAAGGGCATCCAAGATCTCTGTGGCGGCCGTAAGTTATCCTGGGATCAAAAGGGAAAAAGAGAGAGGAGGATGGGCTACACGACCACCTACATCTTCAGTGGACACTATATCTATGTAGGCTAGGTGTACAAATACGCAAATTAGAACAAAAGCAACTCAGTGCTCACAGTCAAGGTCGTGGCTCTGCTCTGGCCTTGAATTCTTGGCCCTGCCTTGCACAGAAGTCCTGAGCTGCACAGGTCTGGCTGACTGTCTCTTAACTCCACCCTCCTGTTTCATGGGCTCTGGCACTGTCCTTTGTGCCCTTCTCCATTACTCACCCAACAGTGTGGGGGAGAGGGGGAGAGGGAGAGGGAAGTGGCAGGAGGGGCAATGTATGGGAGGAGGGGGAGGAAATTTTTTTTTCAACAACTAAAAAAATAAACAAACAAACAAAATAAATAAATAAAACAGTGGCCACTCCTTCCCATTGACCCCTCCTTGGCCCCTCCCTCTGCGTGCCTCAGTTGTCCTCTGTATTCGGGGAAGGGTCAGTTAATCACAGATGCATCCTGCTACTGTGAGCACAGGGTCCAAAAGTCCCCGGCAATGCAGATGTTAACCGGAGGTGCCTTCCTCCTCATTCCCTGAACTGGGACCAGCGCCAGGTGCCCATCGTGATAGTCCTGAGGCACTGACAGCCCCCAAAACAGACCTCCTTCTTGCCCTTACCCCGCCCCCAGAATGCCTGCATGAGGCCTGTGTTGGCCCATTTCACCTGCTCTCTCTCCTCAATGCCACTGTTCACTTCTCATGGCTCACCAGAACAAAAGGGCGTCCCCTGGCCTCAGAGCGCAGCTCCTCTGAAGGCCTGGACCTAGAGTCCAGTTCTCAAGGGGTCCACCCCTCCACTCTGCCTGAAACACGAAGGCCACGTTCCCCGGAGGAGGAAGCATTCACCAGCCATTTCTTCCTGCTTCTTCTGCTCTGAGGAACACGTCTTTCCACGGGTAATCACTGCATGTCTTGCCTTCTAGAGCATCTGAATTTTTGTCAGAGTTAATGCACTTAGGCCTCACCTAGTCACTTCTGGGGAGGTGGGGAGGGATGCAGAACAAAACAAAGGCTGATTAAGGGTTTCATAGATGGCCGGGCGGTGGCGCATGCCTTTAATCCCAGCACTCGGGAGGCAGAGGCAGACGGATCTCTGTGAGTTCAAGACCAGCCTGGTCTACAAGAGCTAGCTCCAGGACAGGCTCCAAAGCTACAAAGAAACCCTGACTCGAGAAAACAAAAAAAGGGGTGGGGATTCCAGAGACTCTCTGGAAGGTCCAGTACCCAAATTAACAAACAAAACACACCATTAGGAGAGAAGATGCTAGAATCACCAGACCCCACCCTCCTCCAAACATGCTTACCTCAGTTCCAGGTTTTGTGCGTGTAGTGGCCTAAAGAGTTCAGAGCAACGCCAATAAGAGGGTCAAGGCTGAATTCACAGGGACAGACAAGTTCATGATCCCTGTCTAGAGTTTCCATGGGAGTAGAGAACCTCAGTTGAAGAATTGATGGCTGATGTGGGAAGGCATAGACCACTGTAGGTGGCACCATCCCTAAGCAAGCAGTCCTACACAGTATAAACAATGGCCCGCAGAGCATGAGTCAGAGAGGAAGACAGTGAGCCGCGGTCCGCGATGGTCTCTGCTTTAGGTCCTGCCCTGACTTAAGTGTTGGACTGTGACCCGGAAACGTAAGCCAAATAAAGCCTTTCCTCCCCAAGTTGCTTTGGTCAAGGTTCTTTATCTTAGCAACAGAACGAAACTGTAACAAAGCCCTTTGAGTTTCAGGGCGCTCGACGCCCTCAGCTCCCTTGAGGAGAGCTGAGAGCCTGCAATGTGGCCCATCGCCGGCAGGGGGCGGCAGAGGCTAGGCCAGAAGGCCGGGTCTTGCCGCGGTTCCGTTGGTCCACACAATCAATAGACATGGTGCTCAGTTGGGGTTTCTAGATCTGGAGGGCTCTTTATCCCACATAGGGATGCTCAGTCGGAGATGCTGAACCTAGATGCTCAGTCCAGGCCTGGATACTGAGCACAGATACATGGATGCTGCGGCAGGATGCTTGTGAGGACACATACTAGGCAGCCTTGCGCTGGACACTCACACGGGTGTCCCTCCACTCCCTGCATCCTGCACAGCCCCTGGAGCCCAAATACCGGCCCGTTTGTTGAATGGATAAATGAAAAACAAACTCAGACTCAGGGTATCTTTAGATGTGCCACGCTCTTACCCTGATAGACAAACCCTCGCTGCCCAGTGTCAGGACCTCATTCCTAAACTGAGGCCTTTCCCTGTGGCCTAGGCCTCCTTCCCCTCCACTTTTAGACACCTGCTGGGTCCTCCTCCTATTGGAGCCAGGAAGGAGCCCCCACCTGGGAGGAACAGGAGTGAAGGAAGAATCTGCTGGAGCAGAACAATGCATGGGGTTCATAGGAAGAAGTCAACGTTTTCCCACACCCTTGAGGGTGGATCTCACTTCTCAACAGGGTTCCGAGCAGGATAACGGTTTGCTCCAAAGAATCAGCCACCTAATAGTCTCCACTGCTCTTATTTACTGGAATCTTCTAGGAAACGTCAGGACGTGTGTCCACCAGACGCATCCATGGACATCTGGACCTGTGCAGTGTCTTTCATTTGTCCCTTTGTAAGGGAGAAAGCAAGGCCACCATAACCCAAAGCAAGCCATTGGTGGTGGGGAGGAGCTGGCAATTCAACCCTGTCAGCAGAGGGAAGGATGGGGAAGGAGGAAGGAGGTCTGGTGCCTTCTCTAGCCCTTCCCACATGTGCAGGTTTTTTTCTGTTGGGCGTTTCTGGGAGATGAGCAGATCACAGACCACACATATGGTTGTTATCCTGAGGGAGAGCTGAAACCATTCATAGACAGATATAGGAACAGGTGATGCTCTGTATTCCTGGTGCAAGGATGATGTGTCTTTTCCCCGTGGGAGAATGTTGGTCTTGCTTCCTGGAAGCCAGAGTCCAGTGCACACGCACCCCTAGAGGGGCTCCTTAGAGGGGAGCAGTGTCCAAGCTCACCAGCCAAGCAGAGTTCTTACGGGGTATATCTACAGCTGACCTCTGCAGAGGTCAGGGAATACACTGGCATAGCTGCATCCAGAACCCCGGCCCCAGCAGCTCCCCAGCACCCCAGCACTTCCCTAGCACCCCCAGCAGCTCCCCAGCACCCCAGCACTTCCCCAGCACCCCCAGCAGCTCCCCAGCACCCCAGCACTTTCCCAGCACCCCCAGCAGCTCCCCAGTAACTTACAGCAGCTCCCCATCACCCCAACAGCTCCCCAATACCCCAGCAGCTCCCCAGTACCCCCAGCAGCTCCCCAGTACTCCCAGCAGCTCCCCATACCCTACAGCAGCTCCCAGGCACTCCCAGCAGATTCCCAGCATGCCCCACCAGCAGCTCTCCTGTCCCTGGCTTTGGATCTCTTCCCCTTCCTCCTCCACTCCTCCAGTGTGGACTCCAAACACAGCTTATTTCTCTACCTGAGACTTCACCCTCAATGCTACCTCTGCTCCCGGTCTGTGATGTCCCCACCTACGTAGTCCTTATGCATTGTTCAGGTACTATATCAGGATCCTTTCTTTGATCCTGGGATCCCCAGAAACTCTTGTGGTGCCCCTAACTTTCAGAAGACAGGGGACAGTAGAGACATTCTTGTCACTGTCCTGAGGAGTCCCTTGTCTGTGTCTCCACCTTCTCCATGGTGAAGCTCTGTGGTGTTGCCATCTGAGGGACAGAAGGGCTGCCCTCTTTCCTGTCTTTAAAACTCCTCGATTTAAACAGGAGCATGTCTATAATCCCAGGAAACACTGAGGCAGGAGCATTGCTGTGAATCCGGGGCCAGCCTGTGATACATTCCAA